ATGTACAGATCTGTACATGGCTCACTGCACTGTACTGCATATACTACGTTGCTCAGCTTGCGTCCGGGTGTTTTATCCTTGGAGTGGACAAGCTTCTGTCTTTGTGTATCCTTGGGTTTGAAATGTCCACGTATGTTGCGTTGGCTGAAGATCCTCCTGAGCTTTTCCGATATTCTTTTGAAACGTCTTCAAAGGAAAACCAGAAAGTCCAGTTGCCTCTTGAAAAAGCACCTTGGGGATAACCATAGCCTGGATGACTGAGAATCTCCATAGACCTTCCGTAAAAGAATACTTTTCATTATAAATGGAGTTGAGGGTCTTTGTTTCCTGGATATCAAAGTTGGGACAGGTTCTGAGTCTCGGTTTAGTCTTGGTCTCAAGTAGAAAGACAAGAGGAAATACGGTCATAAGGAACCCCCAAATTCTGTAAGCACTGACACCCCACCCCCCTTTTACGGCAGGACCTTACCTGCTCTTTCTCCTGGAGCACTGTAGCCCGTGGCAAAAAAGCCAAAAGGGAATGCGCCAATGCCAAATGCCATGTGGAAGCCCGTGGTCGCTTCAGGGAAACTGCCAATGCCCTGCTGGGGTGGGGAGGGAGAGAAGAAAAAAAAAAGGAGGGTAGAGTAACAGGTGTGTTGCGGAAGAGCAGTTAGTCTGGGATGGATTTGGGAAGTTAGAAACGGGCTGCACTCACCCCTCGCGACTCAGGCTCCGGGCGCTGCCCTCGAGGTCGTGGGGGAGTTTTCAATCTGCGTGATGGAGAAAAAGGCAGGATTATATCCGCTCCGGTCTCAGTCCTGCTGCTTCTCACACCTTCCAGTCTTTGCACTGCCCAGTATGTCCAATTCAGCAGAGGAATATGTACCTGCTCCCAAAGGGTTTTACAAATTGCAACCAATAGAAGATAATTTTTTGTAGGCTCAGGGCTGCCGTGGGGGTTCTTGGCGCTCTCTGAGCTTGCTTGTTTTCTTGCACACATAAAGAGAGAGCACACCTTTGGTCCTTTCTAGCACTGAGGATGTTATTTCGTTGGTCTCCAAGAAAACAACCCCCAAACTCAGAGAGCACTAAGGATCCCACCAAATGCAAATGTACCACAAAGGAAGAAGAAAGAAAATAGGATTGTTTTTGTTTCTTTAAGTGGCAGCTATGTTTGTATGGTATACAGGGAGTCCCAAAAGGTGCTTTTTCAAGAGGCAACTGGACTCAGTGTTTTTCTCTTTGAAGATGTTTCGCTTCTCATCCAAGAAGCTTGAACATCCTGCAGAAAGCACAGTTCCAACTTCTCAAGAATAAGACAGATTAATGACACAATTGAGGTTTTTGAAAAAGAGAGTGGAACACAAACTCCAAGAGCTGAAAATCACTTCTAGCAGCAGAAGTATCGGAGCCGGTCACAGAATTTATAAAGGCACAACATGGTGAGCTGAAGAAGCTTCTTGGAGGAGAAGCAAAATGTCTTTAAAGAAAAATCAGAAAGCCCAGTTGCCTCTTGAAAAAAAAAAGCACCTTTGGGACAACCATGAGACTGAAAATCTCCATAGACTTGTACAGGTAGTCCTCAACTTAGGACCACAGTTGAGCCCGAAATTTATGATGCCAAGTGAGAAATTTGTAAAGTGAATTTTGCTTCATTTTACAACTTTTCTCAGCACATTTGTGAAATGAATCTCTGTAGTTCTTATGTTAAGTGAATCTAGGCTTTCCCATTAACTTTGCTTGTCAGAAGGTCACAAAAGGAAATCACATGACTCCAGGACACTGCAATCTGGAGGTTTATCTGTGTCGTCCAGGTGGCCTCAACGACTCGCTAAAAAAATGCAAATGACCAGCTACTTGCAAGGAGTATAAATCCTCCCATTCCCCACCATCCAGTCAGAGCTGAAGAAGCTTCTCGGGGAAGAAGCAAAACATCTTCAAAGAAAAACCAGAAAGCCCAGTTGCCTCTTATAAAAAGCACCTTTGGGACACCAATGATCGTTTCTTCTTTGGCAACATAATTTTAGTTTAATTTATTCAATTTCACCAGGCTGCCCACCCAGATGGGTTACCAAATCCATAAAAAGAATTAAAACAATTACAGGTAGCCCACGACGTAAAACCATTCATTTAGTAACCGTTTGAAGTTACGACGCCACTGAAAAATGGTCATATTTTACGTATTTAAGATGTATTTAAGACCACCGCAACATCTCCATTATCACAATTCGGATGCTTGTTGGCTAGCGATGTAAAATCTGAAGGGATTTTTTATATTTATCTACTCCAGGGGTCGGCAACCTTAAACACTCAAAAAGCCACAAAGGTCCTAACCGGAAGCCACCCCATTCAATTCTGAAGCCAACCGGAAGTCCGGCCCCTCACCATAGAGTCTCCTCCTAGCGCAGTGTTCTTTTTCCTCTACCTGTCCTAACCGAAAGCCCTATCAATTGTAAAGCCGACTGGCGACAGGGAGCTGCAGCAGAGGTATGAAAGAGCCACTTGAGGCTCCAGAGGTGCGGGTTCCTGACCTCTGACTTAACTCAAATGCCAAGAAAAGAAAGGAATCCTTTACCTGGGATCCTGCTGAGCAGAGCTTCCACGCCCATAGAGAGGAATGACTTTGTCGCGGCTGATGCCCGCCTTGCACACAGGACATTCCTGACGCTCCGGCCGAGTTTCTAACCACTGAAGGGAAGAAGGGCATTTGTAAGTTACACAGAACACAGAATCATAAGAGCTGGAAGGTAACTCAGAGGTCCTCTAGTCCAGCCGTCTCCAACCTTTCCACATTGGTGGCCCAGCCCAGTATGTGTGTGGGTGGGAGGGAGGGTTATGAATGGCCCTCTGCTCACACAAGGGGAGTTTTGCACGCAAGCACAAGCACCTTCCACTCAAGAGCCTTCCATTCACATGGAGCTTCACACGTGCGGTTACTCTCACTCACACGTCCTAGCTTCAAACAGGCTGCGGCCTGGTAGTAGGCCGTGGCCCGGGGGTTGGGGACTCCTATTCTAGTCCAACCCCCTGCAGTCAGAAGCTTTGTGGCCACTTCCAAATATGTACATATTTACATTAGTGAGAAGGCAATTTCGGTATCTTTGAGATCTACCATGTTTCCTGGGCCAACCAGCTTTTCATTTTAAAAACTGCTGTCGATGAAATGAGAACCTGGCAAGCTGAGATCTAAAGCAACCGACTGGAGATATGTATCTATTTGCAGCAACTTTTTTAAAAAATAAGTTTTTATTAGTTTATAATGCAGCATACAAAGAAAATGCTGTCAATCGTAAGTCGAGGACTTGCGGCCGGTCACAAGTCGAGGACTTAGCAAATACAAAAGTATATACTAGGTAATATAAGGAAGGAGAAAGGGAAGGGAAAAGTGAGGAAAGAAAAAAAAAGGCACTGACTTCTCACTCCCTTTGGCACGGTAGGATAAGGCACTGATGTCCAACCTCAACTTTCAGCTTTTCCATAAAAGTATAAATTAGCCATTTCTATAACAACAAATCTATCTAATCCAGGGTTGTCAAACTCGCGGCCAACGGGCCGGATGTGTCACACGCTGGCCACGCCCACGCCCAGTTTAGTGAAGGGGGAGAAGTCACGATACGACACTTGACGCTGCCATGACGACACAAGTTTGACACCCCTGATCTAGTCAGTAAAAGCCAAAATCAAAGTGTCATTTCTTTTCCACCTCGAGCACAAAGTCCAGAAGTGGTTTCCAAGTAGAAATGAAAGTGTTTTGTGTTTTTTTTTCTTTGATCAAAACAGTCAATCTCTGCTTAACTCCATCCATTTTCGCAGCCAATTGTCCATTGTGGGGATCGAAGTGGCAGCAATTTTGAGGGCTTTCCAAATACCTCCATAGATTGGAGAGAGTCTCTGGGAGGGGGACTTTGTTTCTGATTACCAGGAGTTGTGGGTGTCTGACACTAACACTTGCAACGGCACCTATAGTTTCTTAGAATTATATACACCACAGACTTTGAAATGCCATATGGACCAAAAGAATTACTTATACGCAACTTGGGTGCGCACACAAAATAAACCCCTCTCAGCTCACAACTTGGGCATATTTCAATGCCAGGTCTGAGATAAACGAAGTAAAAATATTGAATGCGAGAAATACTTTTTTAAAACAACGGACTAAGAGCAGGGAGGTGTAGGTTATAGTCTTGGCTCAGTCCGGACTGTAGCACAGGTAATCCTCAACTTATAACTACAATTTGGACGAGGCTTTCTATTTAAGATGGTTGTTAAATTGAGCCGCAGCCGATTTTGCCACATTGAAGTGAATCACAGCAGTTCTTAAGGGGATCAGGTGGTTGTTAAGCAATCACACACACACACACACACACACACACATTTTGCTTTTCAGAAGCTAGCTGGGAAAGTTACAAACGGTAATCACAGGACCCTTAACAGTTGCTAAGTAATTATTTAAAGGGGTGGTAACACCAAACGGTCATTAAAAAAATGGCAGTAAATTGAAGACTTCTGGTAAGTTTCTCCTTCTCAGCTTTAAGAGCCAGGATGGGACAAAGATGAATGTGTTAAGACTGGAAGTGAAGAGACTCAGCTTCTGGTCTCTGTTCAGACACAGAAGCTCCCTAGTGTTTTACTGTAAGGGCCCCCAAGCTTTGGGGCACCAGGGACTAGTTCCGTGGAAAGAGGTTTTTCCGTGGACTGGAAGGGGCCTGGTTTCGTGTGCTGCCTGCATCCCGTGGATGGGGCTTCGCTTGTTTGCGTGGCCTGGTTTTTGGCATGCCGCAACCTGGTGCTGATCCAAGGTTGGGAACCCCTGATCTGACTTCAACTCCCAGAATTCCCAAGTCAGCAAAGGAGTGGAGGAGATGAAAATCACAATCCCAGCTCCAGATACCTCTGAGATAGCTCTACCCGCAAACCCTCTTACTTTTGTAGAAAGTTAGCACCCACCCCTCTCCTAGAAGAATGAAGTATTTTGAGAAATATTAAAAAGGCAGAATATTATATTTCCCTGGACCGGCCGAATGCCAGTTACAATCTGCTCTACAGGCCAGGCATCTCTAGCCCGATTTATTTCACAGGTCTCTTGTGGGAGGAAAACACCTTGAGCCTCCCAAATGGAAGGCAACCTATAATCTAACAACTAAACCAATGGTCCTCGGCCAGGGGTGGGTTGCTGCCGGTCTTACTACTGGTTCGCAACCTCTGCGCGCGTACACTGTTCAGTGTAAATTGTTCTTTGCGCATGCGCAGAACAATTTACAGTGAACTGCGCATGAGCAGTCACAAAAAAAACACAAAATGGCTGGAGGCGGTCAGCAGCAGTTCGGGGGCATGGCAGGCCTGGGTCACTGCCAGTTCTGCGACCCAGGCCTGAATTCCTCTACCAGTTCGCTTAACCAGCCTGAACCGGCAGCAACCCACCTCTGTCCTCGACTTCCAACAGTTCATTTAGTAACCGTTCAAAGTTACCACGGCAATGAAAAAAGTGACGGATGGCCGTTTGGCGCCAAGGTGGCGCAGTGGTTAAATGCAGCACTGCAGGCTACTGCTAGATCAGCAGGTCAGCGGTTCAAATCTCACCGGCTCAGGGTTGACT